AATGAATGAATGGAAATCCAAAATCTCTGTAAATGTTCATTAAAATTAATAAAATAAAATTTTTAAAAAACACTTTCCAACTCAACAGCACATAACAATAATAATCAGTGTATTAAAAATATTCAAATACTAAAAATGTAACATCTTTGCTTTGCCCCATTTCAGCTATAGTATGAATTAACTGGGCTCTTCAAGAGCTATCTAAAGAATCTAACCATTGTTATTGTGTTATTTTCTTAAGGGAAATAAAATCTGTGTTCCAAACAACTGACTTAAAAATGAACTCTTGAAACACAACCTGTTCCTTAATTGAGAACTCTTTGTCATTTCTATCCCACATGCTTCATGGGCAATATCATTAAAGACTTTGAACAGCAAAAGTCTATAAATAGAAATGTAATGGTAAGGTCATACTTGTGTTTTCTGGAAAGCTAGATATTCCGGCATACTTTCAAAGATTTTTCTATAAGGAGAAGAGTAAAATTTTAACATAAATCACATAGTTCAGTTACTTTTTAAATAAAAAGAGAAAAACAAATGCTGGTATAGTACTTCACCACTGCCTCCATATAAAGTTATTCTCATAAGTCATTTAAAGTGCTTTAAAGAGAGTGGTAATGTTGACTTTTTCCTTTGATCTTAGAAAATTGGTCTTTATTTCTTCCTGACATTCAATGTATAATTCATACTTTGTTCTACAATTTTTCTTCTGTCTACAATGTTTTTTATTGTAAATGTACCTGTAGGAGATTTAGATATTCTGTTTTATAAAGAGATACACAGCACTTTTCTGTTAATGCAAAGCTGTTTGTAAGAGGACATATGAGCTTTTGGTAACTGTGTGCTTGGCTCTGAATTAAGGAATTCATCCAAGGGCAGATAGTTAACTATCAGTACTCCTTCATGTCTAGCAACCACAGTGCCCAGCAATTTTGCTGAAAAGACCAAAGAAAGAGGGAGAGCCCATCCAACTTACTTTCTGAGTCTTCAGGGGGGATATCATTACAAGAGTCTGTATCTGAGTAGGTTCTTCGGCGTCTCTGGGTAAGCCGGTGAAGTGCAGATACTGGTTCTTTTATGGAGTGGCTACTCCTGCAAATTAAATGAAAAGCATTAAGTTGAGTCAGCATTAAACTGTAAACACAATTACAATTTCCCCAACTTAACTGGAGTTTTAAGGGACATCTCTTTAAATGAAAGATGTACAATTAAAAACTACTTTTGGCAACTACTAAGAGCTATTTTACTCTTTAAGAGGTCAAACCAGAAGTCAGTCAACCCAGCCAGAGCCCAGGGGGTAACCTGAAAAAGACAGTTTCTGTGTAGAACCGGAAGGAAAATAGTATGAAGAAGCAGCAGCACTTTATCTACAGGGGGCGGATGCAGCTATACAGACATCATCAGAAATGAATGGTTTATAAATGTTTAAAAACTAAGAGTTATATCATCATACGCACAGCACATAGTATGGACTCCTAAGTCAGCAAAAACAGCACATTGAGGACAAGTAGGTGGGAGCATTCTATACGCAGGCTCATGATGTTGTTGTTGTTGTTGTGTGCCGTCGAGTCGCTTGCGACTCATAGCGACCCTATGTACAACAGCCCTAA